CCTAGATAACATAAAATACATAAAATATTGTAGCAACAAAAAAAAATAGTGCCTGATTACATGGTTACACTTTTTTTTTTTTTTTTTTTTGAGAAGAGTCCTCGCGCTTCAGTCCGCCCAGGCTGGAGTGCAGTGGCCTGACTCTCGGCCTCACTGCAATGGCTTCCGCTCGCCCGGCTTTCACGCCCATTCTGCGACTGCCTCAGGGCCTCCCGAGTAGCTGGGAGCTACAGGCGCCCGCCGCCTCGCCTGGCTATTTTGCATTTGTTAGTAGAGACTGCGGGTTTACCGTGTTAGCCCATGGTCTCGATTCTCCTGACCTTCGGATCCACGCGCGCCTCGGCCGTCCCAAAGTGCTGGGATTACAGGCGTGAGCCACCGCGCCCGGCTGGTTACACTTTGGAAATAATAATTTAGCAGCTATTTTCTTCCCCACTCTGTGGCAAAAACTTAGAGCTTTCATTTTTTTTTTTTTTTTTTTTTTTGAGGCCGGAAAGTCTGGGCATCTGTCGCGGAAAAAATTACCTTTTAAAAGTAAAACTTCTATGTAACTAATTTTAAAAATTTTGAAATCCAGAACTTGAGTAATGTCAGTTTAACAGTGATGTAACCTTCTTTACTTTTGGTTTCTATATATTATGCTATAAATATAAAAACTATTTTATGATGCTATAGGTCAAAATTCAGAAACAATAAAAATGGATTGAAGGAAGATACAAGTCATCAGAAGGTGAAGTATTTTCATTTAAAAACAAACAATACTTAAAGAAACATATCTAAAAATAATAAGAGCCATCTATGACAAACCCACAGCCAACATTATATGGAATGGAGAAAAGCTAGAAGCACTCCCTTCGTAAACTGGCAGAAGACAGGCATGCTCTCTTTCACCACATAGTATTGGAAATCTTGGCCAGAGCAATCAAGCAAGAGAAAGAAAAAAAAAAGGCATCCAAACAGGAAGAGAGGAAGTCAAACTGTCCCTGTTTGCAGATGACATGAGTCTGTATCTAGAAAACTCCATAGTCTCAGCCCAAAAGCTCCTTTAGCGGATAAACAACTTTAGCAAAGTTTTGGGATATGAAATCAATGTACAAAAGTCACTAGCATTCCTACACACCAACAACAGCCAAGCCAACAACCAAGTCAGAAACACAATCCCATTCACAATTGCCATAAAAATAATAAAATACCTAGGAATACAGCTAACCAGGCAGCCAAAAGATCTCTACCATTAGCATTACAAAATACTGCTTAAAGAAATCAGAGATGACACAAACAAATGGAAAGACATCCCATGCTCAAGGATAGGAAGAATCAGTATCATTAAAATGGTTATACTGCCCAAAGCAATTTACAGATTCAATACTATTTCTATAAAACTATCAACAACAATCTTCACATAACTAGAGAAAACTTTTTTTTTTTTTTTTTTTTTGAGACGGTGTCTCGCTCTGTCGCCCAGGCTGGAGTGCAGTGGCCAGATCTCAGCTCACTGCAAGCTCCGCCTCTCGGGTTTACGCCATTCTCCTGCCTCAGCCTCCCGAGTAGCTGGGACTACAGGTGCCCGCCACCTCGCCCGGCTAGTTTTTTGTATTTTTTAGTTGAGACAGGGTTTCACTGGGTTAGCCAGGGTGGTCTCGATCTCCTGACCTTGTGATCCGCCCGTCTCGGCCTCCCAAAGTGCTGGGATTACAGGCTTCAGCCACCGTGCCCGGCAACTAGAGAAAACTATTAAAAAAATCCTATGGAACCAGAAAGAGCCCCAATAGCCAAGGAAATTCTAAACAAAAAGAGCAACACTAGAGGCATCATATTACCTAAGTTCAAACTAAACTACAAGACTACAGTAACCAAAACAGCATAGTACTGGTACGAAAACAGACACAGTTCAATGGAACAGAATAGAGAGCCCAGAAACAAGGCTACACACCTACAACTATTTGATCTTCAACAAAGCTGACAGAAACAAGCAATGGGGAAAGAACTCCCTATTTAATAAATGGTGATGGGATAACTGGCCAGGCATATGCAGAAAATTGAAACTGGACCTCTTCCTTATGCCATATACAAAAATCAACTCAAGTTGGATTAAAGACTTAAATGTAAAACCCAAAACTATAAGGACCCTGGAAGACAACCGAGGCAATACCAACCTGGACTTAGGAATGGGCAAAGATTTCATGACAAAGATGCCAAAAGGAATTGGAACACAAGCAAAAATTGACAAATGGGATCTAATTAAACTTAAGAACTTCTGCACAGTAAAAGAAACTATCAACAGGATGAAAAACCATCCAGTAGAATGGGAGAAAATTTTTGCAAACTATGCATCTGACAAAGGTCTAATATCCAGCATCTATAAGAAACTTAAACAAATTTATAAGAAAAAACACAACCCCATTAAAAAGTGGGCAAAGGACATGAACAGACACTTTTCAAAAGAAGTCATACATGCAGCCAACAAGCATATGAAAAAAGCTCAATATCACTGATTATTAGAAAAATGCAAATTGAAATCACAATGAAATAGCATCTCACATCAGTCAGAATGACTGTTATTAAAAAGTCAAAAAAATAACATGCTGGCAAGGTTGTGGAGAACACGGGATGCTTATACACTGTTGCTGGGAGTGTAAATTAATTCAACCATTGTGGAAAGCAGTGGGGCAATTCCCCAAAGAGCTAAAAACAGAACTACTATTCGACCCAGCAATCCCATGACTGAGTATATGCTCAGAGGAATATAAATCATCCTACCATAAAGACACATGCACATGAATGTTCACTGCAGCACTATTCACAATAGCAAAGACCTGGAATCAACCTAAATGTCCATGATGACAGACTGAATAAAGAAAATGTGGTCCATGTACACCATGGAATGCTATGCAGCCATAAAAACAATGAGATCATGTATTTTGAGGGAACATGGATGGCGGTGGAGGCCATTATCCTTAGCAAACTAACACAGGAACAGAAAACCAAACACCGCATGTCCTCACTTATAAGTGGGATCTAAATGATGAGAATTCATAGACACATAGAGGAGAGCAACACACACTGAGGCCTATTAGAGGGTGGAGAGTGGGAGGAGGGAGAGGGTCAGAAAAAAATAACTATTGGGCACTAGGCTTAGTACCTGGGTGACAAAATAATCTGTACAACAAACCCCTGTGACATGAGTTTACCCATATAACAAACCTGCATGTGTACCCCTGAACCTAAAATAAAATAAATAAAAATGTGAACCATTTAGATGAAACCATAAGAATCTTAAAAGGCTTAGAAAATGTAGGCGGGGTCCGGGCGTGGTGGCTCACGCCTGTAATCCCAACACTTTGGGAGGCCGAGACGGGCGGATCACGAGGTCAGGAGATCAAGACCATCCTGGCTAACCCGGTGAAACCCCGTCTCTACTAAAAAATACAAAAAACTAGCCGGGCGACGTGGCGGGCACCTGTAGTCCCAGCTACTCGGGAGGCTGAGGCAGGAGAATGGCGTAGACCCGGGAGGCGGAGCTTGCAGTGAGCTGAGATCCGGCCACTGCACTCCAGCCTGGGCAACAGAGCAATACTCTGTCTCCAAAAAAAAAAAAAAAAAAAAATGTAGGCGGGGTCCAGCACTTTGGCAAGTGGTGGCGGGCAGATCCCCTGAAGTCAGGAGTTCGAGACCAGCCTAGCCAACATGGTGAAACCCTGTCTCTAATAAAAAAATACAAAAATTAGCTGGGTATGGTGGCATGTGCCTGTAGACCCAGCTACTTGGGAGGCTGAGGCAGAAGAATCATTTGAACCAGGGAGGCAGAAGTGGCAGTGAGCTGAGATCGTGCCACTGCACTCCAGCCTGGGCAACAGAGCAATACTCTGTCTCCAAAAAAAAAAAAAAAAGAAAGAAAAAAAGAAAATGTAATATATTGAAAGGTGTGGTGGCTCATGCCTATAATCCCAACACTTGCGGAGGCTGAGGTGAGTGGATTGCTTGAGCCCAGGAGCTTGAGATCAGCCTGGGCAACATGGTGAAACCTCATGTCTACAAAAAATACAAAAATTAGCTGGGTGTGGTAGCGCATGCCTGTAGTCCCAGCTACTTGGGAGGCTAAGGCAGGAAAATTGCTTGAGCCTGGGTGGCAGAGGTTTCAGTGAGCCAAGATTGTACCATCACACTCCAGTCTGGGTGACTTGAGTGAAACCCTGTCTCACCAAAAAAAAAAAAAAAAGTAATATAGCAGTATGGAATATGTAAATGAACTAAAAATTATGATACTGTAAGTATCATTAATTTAGAATCTAGTAATTAACATTTTTGAACATTTGGACTATTCTTATTTAGGAAACAATATCTTCTTTCATATAAAAAGCAAACTCTGTAAACATTAATCAGATCATGGATTAAATGGATTTAAAAAAAGGAAAAATGGATTTAAAAAATCCATTTTTTATGGATTTTTTATGGATAATGCCTAATGGATTTAAAAAAAGGAAAAATGAACAGAAATGTATAAAATGCCAAAATATTATTTTGAAGCAATCTATTTACATCTCAATGAAATATTACCGAATCTATCTGTAAAAGCAGAAAACCCAAAGAAGCATCTTTAGAAACTACTTTAATTTTTTTTAGTTAAAGAATATAATTAAATACCATTTCCTAAAAATATTCTCTAATAATATGAACCTACTACTAACTTACTTAGTTTTCTTCCAATCACTTATGATAGCAAATTTTTCAAACCTTTGTTAAAAAAAAAAAAAAATTAGACAAAGGGGTGAAAGGCCTGATGTTTTCCTAATACCATTTAAAGATCTTTTAAAATATAGACATTAATTGCTTCTACTAACAATTATAAATATACTCACCAATGATCTTCCCATTTTTATCACGTTTTACTCCTAGTTCTTTTTCCTCCTTTCTCCACAATTTAATTAAAAGACTAGCAGCTGTTTGATCCTTCTTCCCTTGCCAAGCATTGACATGAGCTGCAGTTTTGGGATTATCACAAAATTCAACCATTATTCCAAGTATTAGATTACAGAATTTTTTTTGGTTCAACTTTAGCAAGGAAATAGAAAAGGAAAAAAGTTGCAATCAATATTAAGAATTATTGTCTTCAAAAACAAAAAAAGAGAGAGAAACACTTGTATTATCATTAAGTTTCTTCTAAACTCAGAGTCAGGAAAATCTGTTAAAATGGACATCCATTGTAATGACTATATTTTCAAACATTAGAAATTTAAAAGGATAAAAAGAAAAAGATTTAATGTAATTCTGAAGTCATTATAAACATATATCATGACCAAAATGTGACTGATGTGGTTGAGTTGGAAAAAGGAGATTTGCAAAAATAAGTGAAGATGTTGGTTTTAAGTGGTGAAGCTCAATAGTGTTATACAGAGTTCACTGTAATTACAGGATCTTTCCAATTTATATGCTTTATCAAGGCTTGTAGATTCATACTAACTGTAATCTCTTTGTTATTAAGAGAGTAACTGATGGTAACTGCAAATGACTATCACATATGAAAATAAAACAAGATGTAATTTGGTTTTGTGGCAATCATCATCCATAAAAGAGTATTTAAGGATTCAAAAAAATTATCCTATTATAAGGCATATTTCCTTTATTTTGCTACAAGTAGTTTTCAGTACACCAAAATTTAGGTATAGAAAATTCCATCCAAAGCAATGGCCTCCATAATCTAATTCTTCTATGTGAAATACTTTTTGTTGATTAACTTTTATAGTATACTGCTATTTGAATATAGCAAAGGAAATATGTAAGCTTTTGTTTCAATTGCAAACATCATCAGTTTCCTTTTATAAAATGAAAGCATAATAATATTACCTGCAAAGGGTTATTATGAGTTATATGAGACTGCCTGGCACATAGTAAGCTCTCATTATTATTTAACCATGATTAGCAGTTATCACTGCATACTTTTTATTTCAGCAGAATTGTATTAAGCAAAACACTCAAGGAAATGAGTTTTTTATTTCTCTACTTCAGGAGACAGGCAAATGTGAAAGATTGAAATTGATATAAAAATTTCATTAAATAATATTTGTAATTTGCAATTAATTTGGTTGAATCAGCATTAAACATACTCTAATAATAATGTTCATAATAACAGTAAACACAGGAATAATGTGTTAGGCACTATATTTAATCCATAATATATATGTATGCATGCACACTCAGATGCACATGCACACATACAATCACTCATTTAATCCTTCCAACAATACAACAAGATATATAATGTTGTTATCTCTGTTTTACAGGTCAAGAAATTGAAAAGAGAGAAATGAACTAACTTTCAGAGAGGTTAAGGGGCACAAATAATTTTAGCACCTTTGCTAAATCAAAGTAGGTTTGTTATTCTGTTAATAAAATCAAGAATGGTGGCAATCACAGAATCACAGGGATCTGGCTAGATCCCTGTGTGAGAATCTCAAAGTTTTATTGAAACGAAATTGTACGTTTCCTCCCATATCATCCTGACTATGGACTCCAGTTAGAATTGAGGCTATTAAGGGGCCATATTCTTCACAGCTGCTAGATGGCACCATCTCTATTGGAAGGCCTAGCTTGCTCATACCTGCTCATTCTGCAAAACAATGATCTATGACTCACTAGACTTCTTCACATTACCTCCAAATAATACATAGTTCTTTAAAAATGCTTATCTTTGCTCCTTGTCTAACATGGCCCTTATATTTTAATATCAGGGGAAGAAACTAGAAGTTATTAATAAATGACTATGGGTTTTGATATGGTCAAGCTCTTCACAAGCTGTTTCTTAGTAGGCTGATGCAGTACAAAGAAAAAACAAATTCTTTATTCCTGTGTATTTGAAAATATTGAAAAAATACTGGTAAAATGATTTTCCAACCAGAGGAATTTTCAGAGCCTTTAATACACTGTGTATTATGAATCTCTAGGAGCAATTTTGTTTAAGACCGTGCCTTTGAACATGATTTGGGGCACATTTATTCATAGAATAGTGCTCTGTGGCATTCAATTTGGAAGAGGTCTTTATTAGACATATTTGTCTTTTGTCTTACAATTGTTATAGCCATACTTACTGCCAACACATCCAAAAGGAGAAAAATGCCTTCCTTTTCAAGAAAATAATCCTCTGAAGGATAACATCCCAAAATACAGCACCTTAAATTAAAAGAAAGTTATTCATTTGACATTTATCCTTAAACTCAATTTGTACAGCTTTATTTTCATCAAAGTATTTTCAAAGAATATGTTTTCTTCATTTTCTTAAATTAAGTAGCTAATGTTTTTACCTAAGAAAATAGAACTTCAAAGAAGTTGCTTTACCAGCATTGTTTAGTTTCAACGTTTTTAAAAACCAATATCAATTCTTTTTCATAACTGCCTATTTCTTTCCTACAGATAAAACATTCTCCTTTGCTTTCGTGATATTAATTATTCTTAGTGATCTTCTCTGGCTGGTCTCGTAACTTTTTTGCAAGATATATCCATTTATTGTTGCTGTAAACCAAAAATAAAATTCTAAGCCCCCCAACCAACTGAATGAACCCTTCTCTCAGCCAAGGCATTCCAAAGTAAACTTGAAAAACTAGGTCAGGCCATGATAGGAAGCAGGGGTTGGACATGCCTCATTATACCTTCCTCCCTTTGGAATTCAGGCACAACTGACCAGTGAGTATTAACATTAAAACAGAGATCTTAAGAATGAAAAAACAGACTTCACAGCAATGAGATACCGAATTCCAACTTGACTCTGGTATAGCATCACATGACAGTAGGCTTTCAAAGAAATCAAAGTATTTTGCCCCAAAATATATTCCTTTGACTTATTTTTAAATGACCCTTCAAAACAGTCTCTTCTGGGGAAAATCTACATTCTGTAGAGAATCCCCTCCCCTGTCCAAGTATTTTCCTGATCCAGGAGTGATTTAACTAAGTCCGGCACCTTTTAAGGTCTGATAAGAGACATTTACCAACTATTCTACATAATAAGAAACTTGGCCTCAACAATCCCTCATTTTAACGCAGATACTCCTTTCTATTGATCCCCAGTTTTTAAATAGTAACTTATCCATTTCAACAGAGAGCAATCAGGAAATTTTTGAATCCACCTCTGACCTGTAAACTCCCGCTTTGAGTTGCCTTTCCTTTCCGAACCAAACCAATGCATACCTTATGTGTACTGATTGATGCCTTATATCTCCACAAAACGTATAAAACCAAGCTGTAGCCCAGTCACCTCAGGCACATTTTCTCAGGACCTCTTAAAACTGTGCCTCAGGCTGTGCATGGTGATCACGCCTGTAATACCAGCACTTTGGGAGGCTGAGGGGGGTGGATCACCTAAGGTCAGGAGTTTGAGATCAGCCTGGCCAACATGGCAAAACGAGGTCTCTACTAAAAATACAAGAATCAGCCGGGCATGGTGGTGGGCGCCTGTAATCCCAGTTACTCAGGAGCCTGAAGCAGAAGAATAGCTTGAACCCAGGAGGTGGAGGTTGCAGTGAGCTGAGATCACGCCACTGGCTGGGTGACAGAATGAGACTCTGTCTAAAAAACAAACAAACAAACAAAAAACTGTGCCTCAGGCCTTGGTCAATCATATTGGGCTCAGAATGAAACTCTGTAAAATATTTACAGGCCTTGTCGACACTGCTGTTTCAAGATGTTGGTGCACTTCAAACATTGGATAATGATTATATCTCATCTTTGCAGTTGAGACTATTTTGTCAGAGGTGTTTGAACGAGAGCAACTCCATCTTGAATAGGGACTGGGTGAAATAAGGCTGAGACCTACTGGGCTGCATTTCCAGAAGGTTAAGGCACTCTAAATCAAAGGATGAAACAGGAGTGCAGCACAAGATACAGGTTATCAAGGCCTTGCGGATAAAATAGGTTGCAGTAAAGAAGCCAGCTAAAACCCACCAAAACCAAGATGCTGACAAAAGTGACTTCCAGTCATCCTCACTGCCACACTCCCACCAGCACAATGACAGTTTACAAATGCCATGGCAACATGAGGACGTTACCCTATATGGACTATAAAGGGGACGCATAAATAATCCACCCCATGTTTGGTATATCATCAAGAAATAACCATACGAATGGGCAACCAGCAGTCCTCAGGGCTGCTCTGATTATGGAGTAGCCATTCTTTCAGTCCTTTACTTTCCTAATAAACTTGCTTTCACTTTACCCTGTGAACTCGCCCTGAATTCTTTGCTGCACCTGATCCAAGAACCTCCCCTTGGGGTCTGGATTGGGACCCCTTTCCTGTAACATCCTTCTGGCAACCATGGGAGGGACGATAATGAGAAAACCATGACCCAAAGGCTAATATTGGGTAAGTGTTGGGGTCTCGTGACATCTTTCCGGCAAGCCCCGAAGGGACAATACTGAAGAAAGCCCTCAGCCCCAATCCAAAGGAAAGAGATGGCAGCACTGGTTGGCTGACCTCGAGTAAGTGGTGGGGTACTCAGCTAAAGGATGGCATTGGGTTAGAGGTCAACTTAGGGGAGTTAGAGTCTCTCCTTAAGTCAAAGTGGGTAAAAGCCCCTCTTATTAAAAAGCAAGGAAACTTGACTGACCCTGGTTTGAAGGCCAATATAGGAGGGTTAGAATCCCTTATAAGAGTTAGGGGGTTAGAGGCCCCTCTCAGTAAAGTCCCTTTTGGCTAAAATGGGTTTGGCACTATGGGGTGTTAACTGCTATTCTCTTTGGAACAATCTGCCTTGCACTTTTTGCTTATGGTTACAGGTGAGAGGATTAGGCACGTACAGGATTGTGAGACATAGGGAGCTTTTTCCTCCCTAAAAGGGGAAACTTGAGAGCAAATGGGAATGCTGGAAAGGATCCCTTCTCGACTTAAAAGTGACTGGCTGCACTTTTGATCCAGTGTTGGCACCAATGGGCAGGTCTTTCTCTGGCCTCCCTGAGCACCTCACCTTTCTCACACTGCCACAAGCAATGCTCCCTTCCCTTCATCCCTTCCCTTCCCTTCTGTGCAAACCAGTTGAATGAATGGTAAAATCACTGTCTCCTCTGTAAAGTTTTGACTAATGGAAGAAATGATTTGCAAGCCTAATCTTAAGCTGTAGTCAGTCTGGTGTACTTTGTCTTTCTCTATTGTTCTGTCATAAAGAGGGGTACCTTAGGAGAGATCATAGGGCACCTGTAAGCCTGCTTTCAAAATGGCCCAGCAAACTGGTCAGTTACAAATTTTGCTGCAGGTCCCCCAAAAATCTAAAACTGGACACGATTTCCCTCTTGCCTTGTATGTCTTTGGGAGCTTGACCTTGTTTAACCGTGTGGCCATGCTTTCTCTTTCCACAATGGCGGCCCAGGTTCAGGGTTCAATTCCTGGCTTAGGGAAGGAGTCCTTTATCTTCTGTGTGTCTCTGTATTTAAATGTATTATGTGTGTGATGTTTATATATGAAAGAGCTCTAATTAGTTTATTAATAATAAGAGCTTAAATCAAACTTTTTTTGGTTAAAAAAATCAAAAGTAAAAAGTAGAATGCCTTTTAGTTCATGTGACTTTAGTAATCTTTGGGAAATCAAAACAGTTTTAATAAAGATTATTGATAAAACAAAAATATCTTCAAAAATGTAAACATTTGGTGTAAATTATGCAGGTCAGGTATCAGGTTTTCCAGATGCTTTAAGGTCATAAGTGGCTTCTTTGACTTTTGAAAATTGTTCAATTTATTTAAGAGCATTGGATTGTAGATAGGGCCTGGGGACATGTGAAATTAGCCATGCCCCCAGCAATACAAAGAAGGTTATAAAGAGAACAGATTTTATATAAAAAACAATCTTGTATAGTAGATTCTCATCCTAAGGTAAAACAACTGGTTGTTTAAAAAGAGGGATGTTTAGGACAAGTTAGAAAGTCTAAGCATGTCATAGTCTATGTAAGTTGTGAAAGGATTAGTGAAAGGGAATTTGTACAAGAAATGTTGTACAATTTGAAGGTCGTTAGGCCCCCGAGCTCCCTGTATCCTGAACACAAGAGACCGTAATAGATAGGCAGGAATATTATCACCCCTCTTCAGCCTGAAGGTGTTACAGAAGATGGATCTTCAACCCTCTGCAACCCTTAGAATTAAGGCTTCTCTTATAAAAGGGATGGGGAAAATGTTAGATGCATTTGAACTAGAGCAACTCCAACTTGAATAGGGGCTGGGTAAAATGAAACTGAGACCTGCTGTGCTGCATTCCCAGATGGTTAAGGCATTCTAAGTCACAGGATGAGATAGGAGGTCACAAAAAATACTGGTCATGAAGACCTTGGTTGCAGTGAATAAGTCAGGTAAAACTTACCAAAACCAAGATGGTGACGCAAGTGACCTCTGCTTGTTCTCACTGCTACATTCCCACCAGTGCAATGGCAGTTTACAAATGCCACAGCAACATCAGGAAGTTACCTTATATGGTCTATAAAGGGAAGGCATGAATAATCCACCCTGTGTTTGGCATGTCATCAAGAAATAATCATACAAATGGGAAACCAGCAGCCCTCAGCACTGCTCTGATTATGGAGTAACCATTCTTTTATTGCTTTACTTTCCTAATTAACTTGCTTTTCCTTTATCCTTTGGACTCACCCTGAATTCTTTCCTGTGTGTGATCCAAGAACCCTCTCTTCGGTCTGGATCAGGACCCCTTTCCTGTAACAATTTGCTAAAGTGACTACTTTGGTTTGTGCAGCTCACATGGAATCAGGGGTTAAGGCTGCTGCTGGGGCTACTTACACTTTTTTTCCTGATAGGGAATGTGGACTGAACAAGCTATCACTAGTGGTAGCAACAGATACTATTCTCAGTTCCTCCCAGAAATTGCAAGACTGCTGTGGTCACTTTCCTGTGTCCCCTTTCTAAACATAGCTTCCTCTTGAAAAAAAAGAAAAGACATTGTTTCTACTGCCTGTTTCATCATGGTGTGTAGACAGTAGGAGTTGGGTAGAGGCTGGTATATAAAATGCCATCAGCTTTGCTCCTCCCATTCAGGTGGTCCCAGGTTTTACCCCTGGGGTGGCCAGAGATTTGGGCAAACATTATTCTGGATGTGTCTGTGAAACTGTTTCTGTATGTAATTAACATTTTAATCAGTAAACTGAATAAGGTAGCCTGCCCTTACTAATGTGGGTGGGCCTTATGCAAGCAACTGAAGATATAAACAGAATGTAAAGGCTGAGTAAGAAGGAACTCCTCTGCCTGACTGCTGAGCTGGGACTCAGGCTTTCAGACGCATACGGATATATTTGCTCTTCTTGTGCTTCAAGCATCCGGCTTTCAGACTGGCACTTAGACCACCAGGTTTTCTGGTCTTTGGGCCTTCAGTCTCAGACTGGAACTACACCATCGGTACTCCTGGGTATTCCATTTGCCAACGGTAGTTCTTGGGACTTTTCAGTCTTCATAATTGTGTGAGCCAATTCCTTATAATAAATCTCAATCTCTCTCTATGTTTTTTCCTACTGGTTCTGTCTCTCTAGGGAACCTTGACTAATATAATATCCAAATGCAAGGGGTCAGCAAAAGCTAAGACAATTTTAATGGAGAAGGAAAAAGTAGAAAGACTTACTCTACCAGATGTCTAGACTTATTAAAAAGACCTAATTATTAAAATAGCACATTACAAAAGGATAGACAAAAGACAGTAGAACAGTACAGAAAGCCTAGAAATAGATCCAGATATATATGGACATTTGATTTGTACAAAGAAGGTACTGCAAAGCAGTGGGTAAAGGATGGTTTATCCAAAAACAGCATTGAATTACATCCACACAAAAAAAGGAAAACTTGTACCTCACCTTACACCATACATACCAATCAATTCCAGGTAGATTGTAGGTCTAAATGTAAAGGGCAAAAACAATAAAGCTTCTAGAAGAAATATAGGCAGTGATCTCCATGACTATGGGGTAAGGAAAGACTGTTTAAACAGGGCACTATAAGTACTGACGATAAAAAAAGACTGGCAAATTAGACCATACTGAAATTAAGACTATTGGTTCAACAAAAAGAAAGTGAAGAGAGTGAAAAATGTAAGCCTCAGAGTGGCAGAATATATTTGACAAACATATAACAGAAAAAGGCTCATGTCCAGGACATATAAAGAACTCTGTAAAAAACAATAGGTAATTCAGTAGAAAAGTGAGCAAGAGACTTGAGTAGGGATTTCACAAAAAAGAGGCTATTCAAATGGCAAATGAACTCACTAGCAATCAGAAATGTGAAAATTAAAACTACAAAGAGACACTGGCACAAGTCCATAAGAATGGCTGCAATGAAAGATATAATGCAATGTGTTGGTAAGGGTGTGGAGCAAGGAGAAACCTCCACGCCACTGGGAAAGGTGCAATTGATGTAAGTACTTTGGAAAATTTTTTGGTATTATCTCCTAAAGTTGAACAGACATAAAAATGCCCAGATCTAGCCATTTTTACATCTAGGTGTATACTGGACAGAAATATCTATGCATGTTTAATAAAATATATGCACAGAAATAATTTTTTCATAAGCCTAGACTAATTTGTGTTTGAATCTTAGTTTTTAACAAAATATTTAACAAGTAAAAACAATGCAATGTTTTTAAAAACAGAAGAAACTTATAGAATAAAAAATATAAAGAAACAAAATATTTTTTGTATGGCTATACAATGTATTTGTATTTTAAGCTAAATGCTATTACGAAAGAGCCAAAAACTTAAAGAAAATTAAAACATCTATAAAGTAAAAAAAATTACAGTAAGCTAAGGTTAATTTATTGAGAAAAGAAAAATATTTTAAAAATAAGTTTAGTGTAATCTAAGTGTAGAGTGTTGATAAAGTCTATAGCAATGTATAATAAGGTCCTAGGCCTTCACATTCATTCACTATTCACTCGCTGACTCACTCATAGCAACTGGTACTGCAAGCTCCATTTATAAGTGCCCTATACAAGTATATGAATTTTTAAAAATCTTTTAGTCTATAGTCTTACTGTACCTTTTTAAATGTTTAGGCATGTTTAGATATACAAATACTTACCATTGTGTTACAGTTGCCTACAATCTTCAGTACAGTAACATGACATACAGTTTGTAGCCTTTAGGTTATACCATCTAGCCTAAGTATGTAGTAGGCTATACCATCTAGCCTAAGTGTGTAGTAGGCTATACCATCTATGTTTGTGTAACTACACCCTATAATGTTTGCATAAGATGAAATTGCCTAAGGAAACATTTCTCAGAATGTATCCTCACTGTTGTAAAGTAATGCATGACTGCTGTGAGTCTACTTAATTTGAGTACAGTAATACTCACCAAATGCTGTCCAATGTACTAAAAAGAAGTAGATTATAGCCTAAGCCACTCTGTAACTTTCTGGGGTCTGTTTTCATCACATGAAGAACTATATCTACTCCTTCGGTTCCGAAAATTTCCTGTTTAAGATAATTTGTTTTAAATTATTTCTTAAATAAATAATTCCTCCCTTTCCTACTTTATCTGTCCCCTAAAATTGCTTTTTTACCAGAGAAATACAGCAACATTGTTAGAAAAATACTATTTTTACTACAATTTAAAAAACTGTACTTACTTATTTTCAGGAATTTAAAATAAATTATTATAAAACTAATCATTTTAAGAGGGGGCATCAATCAACATGCCAGCTTAATAATATCCCTTGATACTTTTTGTTTTATTCCCTTTCTCCCAACAAAAGTCATAAAACTTGCACTTTGATTTTCTTCAACATTATAATGACTGCAGTCTAGCATTATGTCAGATTAATTCTTAGATAGTAAGAATTATCATGCAAGATTTTCTAATGACCCCAAGAGAGAAATAGGATATAAATGTAGTTAAAACCTTTAATAATTTATGCGAAGTTTTAACCACTTAATATTTTTCTCTTACTAATTACCTTTCTCATTGCCTTGATGTTCAGTTCTGGTTCCCAGTAAGCAAGATTATGATTATTTTTCCAGAGGAGCCCAGGCACAGGGTGGTAGAATACGATGAGAAGTTGCATCAAAGCTTGGAGCTAAACATTCACTTAAAATCTATCTACTGAAACCATCGTGTCTTTTTTTTGTTTTTATATTTACAATTCCATCCCTTGCTATTTAATATTTAAATTATCAATCTCTGAGCCTCAGAGTTCACTATGGAGCTACAAAAGATAAAAGGGGATTAAGATCTTGTTCTAACTTTTGGCTTTAGGCTTGAACCCAATTCAAACCCCAAACATTTAAAATGGTATAGCCCACTTTGGAAAACTCTTTGGCAGCTTCTTATAAAGATACACCTACTTTATGATACATCAGTTCCAATTGTAGATACTTACCCAAGATAAATGAAAGCATTATACCCAGTAGTACAAGACTAGCACAAGAATATTCACTCAGGCTTTATTCATTATAGCTGTAAATAAAAACAACCCAAGTGCCTACCTATCAATAGGGGAACAGATAAACAAATTTTGGTATATTCACACAATGGAATACAATTTAGCAATAAAAACAAATGAATTATTGATACATGCAATGACATGAATTTCTTTTTGTCCCTCTCTTTCTCTCTTTCTTTCTTTCTTTTTGCTTTAGAGTCTCACTCTGTCACCCAGGCTGGAGTGCAGTGGTGAGAGCTGGGCTCACTGTAACCTCCTAGGTTCAAGCAATTCTCATGCCTCAGCCTCCTGAGTAACTGGGATTACAGGCACGCACCACAACGCTTGGCTAATTTTTGTATTTTTAGTAGATATGAGGTTTCGCCATGTTGGCTAGGCTGGTCTCGAATTCCTGACCTCAGGCAATCCACCTGCCTCAGCCTCCCAAAGTGCTGAGATTACAGGCCTGAGCCACCATGCCCGGTCAACATGGATATATTTCTAAAATATGATGCTGGATGACAGAATCCAGAATAAAAGAGTAAATATGGTGCGATTCCATTCATATAAACTTAAAGAATAGGCAAAACCAACCTTTAGGAATAGAAAACAGAATAGTAGTTTGTCTGGAAGTGAGCGGGGGCATGGCTTCTAATGGGATGAGGAAATTTTATAGACATAGAAATATTCTCTGTTTTAATTGGGGGTATTAGTTAAATGGGTGTATACTGTTGTATATTTTTTACCTTTTACTTTATATAATTATGCTCTAATTATTAACAAAAATATTAAATTTTCACAAAATTAAATACAATTATAGAAACTTCCAAAAATAGTTTGTAGTGTTAGGTGACTGGGAGACCTGAACAAAACTTTCACAGGCATACATACCTTCCTTTGAATGTGATTCTCACAAAGACCAGATAGGATAAGTAAAATATCAGACTGGATTTCCAAAACAATGGCTTCTTCCTTTTCATTAGGCTTGCTTATTATATTTTTAAAGATTCCTGGTATGAAAATGTTCAAAGTATGTATAGTTATTGGATACTACTTTTATTTTGATCAATTACTTTTAGGAAATCTCTTCTAAATCTTAATCTAAGAATTAATCTGACATAATGCTAGACTGCAGTCATTATATTGTTGAAGAAAATCAAAGTGCAAGTTTTATGACTTTTTTTAGGAGAAAGGGAATAAAACAAAAAGTATCAAGGGACATTATTAAGCTGGCATGTTGGTTGATGCCCCCTCTTAAAATGATTAGTTTTATAATAATTTATTTTAAATTCCTGAAAATAAGTAAGTACAGTTTTTTAAATTGTAGTAAAAATAG